GTTGGATTCCTCGGCTCGGTTCGGCACGTCGGGTCGGTCGGTAGTCTCCTCGTTTGAAGAGTCTTCACCGTCAAACGTCCGCACCGGGTAGGACACAAGAGGAGCGCCGTCGGCAGTGGGTCCTTCAACAGTCTCATCCTGCAACGAGCCATCACCGGCGGCCTCCTGAGTTGTGCTAGTAGTCGGGACCTCGTCTTTGGTGGAAGTATTCTGCTCCACAGGCAAGGAGAGATCTGCGGGAGGAATTGAGTCCTCAACTGGTTTACGCCCAGCTTCTCCATCGCCATCTGGTGCCCTTGCAGTCGATGCATGCACAGCCGGATCCCTTGCAGGCGGGTAAGCATCCTGGTCCGCTTTGGTTGTCGGCAAGTCTATTAAACCTCTTGGCACATTGCACACTGCATCCTCGTCGTCCGCAGTAAGTTCCTCAACAGCGTCTCCCTGTAAAGAGCCCTCTTCGGCTGGCTCTTGAGTTGCGGTCGTAGCCGGGTGAGCGCTGGTAGTTGAGGTGTCACGCTCGGAGAGACCTGCGCCGGCTGCTAAACCTCCAACTGGCTCGTGCTCCACTTCGTCGTCATCAGCACACTTGCCCACATCTGGTCTCTGAGGAACCTCGGTCAAGCCCTCGGCGTCAGAGATGTCGGTAGTTTGGAACGACTCGGTTGGCGGCATACCTGCATCACCATGGATCGGCACATTGGGTTCCTCGACACGGTTCGGCACGTCGGGTCGATCAGCGCCCTCCTCGTTTGAAGAGCCTTCATCGTCAAACGACTGCACCGGGGAGGACGCAAGAGGAGCGCCGTCGGTAGTGGGTCGATCAGCAGTCTGCTCGTTTAAAGAACCTTCGCCGTCAAATGGCTGCACCGGGTAGGAGACAAGAGGAGCGTCGTCGGCAGCGGGTCGATCAGCAGTCTCCTCGTTTAAAGAACCTTCGCCGTCAAATGGCTGCATCGGGTAGGACACAAGAGGAGCGCCGTCGGCAGTGGGTCCTTCAACAGTCTCATCCCGCAACGAGCCCTCACGGGCAGCCTCCTGAGTTGTGCTAGTAGTCGGGACCTCGTCTTTGGTGGAAGTATTCTGCTCCACAGGCAAGGAGAGATCTGTGGGAGGAATAGAGTCCTCAACTGGTTTACGCTCAGACTCTCCATCGCGATCCGGTGCCCCCACACTTGATGCATGCACAGCCGGATCCCTTGTAGGCGGGTAAGCATCCTGGTCCGCTTCGGTTGTCGGCAAGTCTATTAAACCGCTTGGCACATTGCACACTGCATCCTTGCCGTCGACAGTGGGTTTCTCAACAGCGTCTCCGTGTAAAGAGCCCTCCTCGGCTGGCTCCCGAGTTGTGGTCGTAGCCGGGTGAACACTGGTAGTTGAGGTGTCACGCTCGGAGAGACCTGCGGCGGCGGCTAAACCTCCAACTGGCTCGTGCTCCATTTCGCCGTCATCA